TTTATTACTCTTCTCTGTTCCTTTCTTCCTGTCTTACACTCTTCTCTTGTTATTGATGGTTTTCTTTAGTGTTGTAATTGGATTTTTCTCTTTTTTTAAAATTTATTTATTTTTGTTTGTATTTATTGTTGGCTTTAGTTTTGTGGTTACCAAAAGTTCAAGGTTAGCTTCTTTACAATATAATATTTTAAATTGATGATTACTCTATTTCAAACACAATCTGAAGGTACTTTTTTTTCTTCTTCCTCCTCTGTACTTTATTTATAAGATGTCTGTGATATAATGAGTTATAAGGAGTACATATCTGGTCATTCATATGACAAAATACATAATTTCTCAGGTATATTTTGTCTTCATCCACAGTTCCTGAAAACACTAAAGAGTCTTAAAGTTGAAATGGGTGTTCTTTGTCATGTTAATGAGAGACTTTTGCACCCCCTACCCAGGGGTGGCAGCTGGAGGTTGGATCACCAATGGCCATTTCATCAATAATGACTATGCAATGAAGCCCCCACAAAAACCCAGGAGAAGAGCTTATCTTTCTCGTTCTCTGCCCACTCTGCTTCGTTGCATCGTGCTTCTTCGTCAGAGAGATCTTCTATTCTTGGGGAACCACAATGCCTCCACATGCTAGAGCCAGGCTCCAAGCTGCACAAGGGCTAGCTTCTTTATTTGGGGTCTTGCCTTATGTCTTTCATCTGGTTGTTAACTTGTATCCTTTATTAAACTGGTAAATGTTTTTGCCTGAGTTCTTTGAGCCACTCTAGCAAATTAATCAAATCTAAGGGGGAGGTCCAATCTATAGCTGGTAGGTCAGAAGCACAGGTACTGCCTCGGGCTTGTGACCAGCATCTGGAGTGGGGAATCAGTCTTGTAGGATGGAGCCCTTAACCTGGGAATCTGGTGCTGTCTCCATGTAGTTACCATCAGAACTGAGTGTAGATCTCAGATGTCCTGCTGGTGTATCTGAGAATTGCTTAGTGTAAATGTGTGTGAAGACCCCTCCCACATATTTACACAAAATGGAATCGTGTCCAGGTACCAGAATGAAGTTATACTACTGTTAACTGCTGTGTGTAATATTGTTACTGTTGTACATATATGTAGGAAAAAAATACACTATTTCAATGTTGTAAAAAAATACACCACTTAATATTTTGTGTATCCCTTGACTGATTTTGTGTAAAGTTTATTTTGCTTCTTTTAGTTTAATTTCATACTTGCTTGGTCATTATTTGGTCTGCTACCTTTAGTATGAGTTTTTTTCACTGGTGAAAGCTATTTAACTTTAGGAACATTGCTGTCTTCAGCAGTCCCTTTAATGTATCCTGTAAGGCTGGTTTAGTGGTGGTAAATTCCTTCAACTTTTGTTTATCTAGAAAATGTTTAATCCCTGCTTCAAATTTAAATGATAATCTTGCCAGGTATAGGATTCTTGGTTGAAGGTCCTTCTGCTTCAGTACATTAAGGTTTTCATGCCACTGCCTTCTGGCTTGTAAAGTTTCTGCTGAGAATCCTCTGAAACCCTGATGGGGTTTCCTTTATATGCAATCTGTTTTCTTTCTTACTGATTTCAATACTCTCTTCTTAGCCTTTGTCTTTGCTGTTTTAATTATATGTCTTTGTGTTGTCACCCTGGGGTTCCTTTTGTTAGGGGCTTTCTGTGCTTCCAAGACCTGAGTGTCTATTTTCTTCCACAGATAGGGGAAGTTTTCAACAATTGTTTACTCAAACAGACTTTCTATCCCTTTGTGTCTCTCTTCTCTTTCCCTTACCCCTGTTAGGTGAATATTGTTTTGTTTGGCTTGTTTGCATAGTTTTCTTATCATTCTCTGTTCCTAGAGATTCTTTTTTTTCTGTGTTCCAGCTTCATTGTGTTTCTCTTTTCTAATTTCCATCTCATTTATTGTCTCCTCTATTTGCAGTAATCTGTGCAATCCTTTCATTTTATGTTTCATTTCAGTTACTATATTCTTTGTGACTCTTTTTCAGCTCTTCTGTCCCTTTTGTTGAAGTCCTCCCTGAAATCTTCCATATTTTTCTGTAAATCAGTGAGCACATTTATGACTCTTACTTAGATATTTTTATCAAGAAGATTGGTGATCTCTGTTTCATTTAGCCCTCTTTCTTATGTCTTGTCCTGTAGTTTTGTTTGGAATATATACCTTTGCCTCTTCATTTTGTCAGGGTTTCTCTGTTTCTTTCTTTGTATTAAATGGATCTGCTATGCTTCCTAGCCTATAGAGTAATAGGCATCCTTTGGTGCCCTGAAGGTCAGGATTCTTTTTGCTCTTGTGCCTGGTTCTACTTTGTGGGTCCCCCAGCTGTTGTTGGTGTGCAGTGGGCAGGACCACCTTTCTGTCTGTCTGCAGCACAGGTAATTTACCTCAACTGCTTTGTTATTTGAGCAGAAGCCTCTGTTGGAATATTTGTGATAGGGGCCACCCTCTGCTTGCCCTGCAGCAATGTCGGAACTTCAGGGTTAATGGGGTGGGTGGACTGTGTGCAGCTCTGGGGCAGGACAGGATGCACAGCACCAGGTTTCCAAATTCCTCGGGGAGGAAGGAGCTTTCAGTGCTGGCTCCTGCAGGCACTTCTCCAGTTGGGCTGAAATGAGGTGAAGAAGCTGGGAGGGTCTTCCTCCATCTGCCAGGCAGCAAAGTCTGATGCTGCTGCTGGGCCGAGTGGGTGGGCTTCCAGCAGTATTCACAAGGAGGAGCCTTTGGGCTTTGTTGCCAGCGAGGGTGATGGAGCATCTGGGGCTCCCGAGAACTTGTGACCTGTTGGGCCTAGGAAGGGCTACATAGGTATTGCCCACCTGCCATTTCTCCTTAGGTGAGAGCTCTGTCCAACTCTCACCCCTTTGGTATCCCTCCCACTGCTGGCAAGTCTTTCTAACTCCCAACTCTGCTTTGGGTGTCTGGACTGGTGGAATGTGCCTGTCCTCCAAAAGTGGCTGGGATCTCAGCCTCCGTGAGTGTTCCCAGCTGTCCCTGGTGACCAGGACTGATAATCACCAGAACCCAAAGTAATGTGGACTTGTGTGTCCAGTGTTTCTGTGCTCCTATCCCTTCCCAACTCTGTTCCTCTTTCTTTGTCTGTGGGCTGGGTTGGGGGGAGGACTTGGGTCCCACTTGACCATGGTTCTGCCATTTTACCCTTTTTTGTGTGTTATTCTCTTCTTCCCCAGGTGTAGGGTAATCTTTTGTTTTGTCTTCAGGTCGTTTTCAGGTTTAGTTGTATTTGCTGTATTTTCTTCTTTTATATGTATTTGGGAGAAGGTTTTAGCCTTGCCTTCCTACTCTGCCATCTTTTTCTCCACTCTCCACCCAACCCCCCATATGCATTTTCTTTATTGACATCATTATCCTATTTTTTGTTTTGGCCAGGGTGGGGGTCTCTCAGCCATTACTTCACCTTTTGTTCTAATTTTCTCATGTATTTAAAAAATTCTTATGCTTTACTTTAAGTTCTTTATAGGAATAATATTTTTACTTACCTATTGTTAGGATTTTATTTTAAAAGCTAAATAAACTTAACTGCTAAAATAGAAAAATCATTAATCATAATTTTGTGAATTTGAGAAATTTCTTGTGATTTGTTTGGTCTTAAAAAATTATATAAACATTTATTGTTAGAAGTCTGATTTTATCCCCATGTCATGTACTTCTGTTACTTTTAAAACATTTAATATCTCTTGGTATCAAGGTAAAATATGATTTTTGGAGGAAAAAAATAAACCTTGTTGATTGCTCAAATTGTATTTGAAGTGAGGTTTAATATAAACTAATAAATATTTGCATTAAATGTTTTCTGTTATTTACATTTGACAGTGTGATAGTAATAAATCTATTTTATAAATAATATATATTTATCTTTTAAAGTGTATAAAATCAAGTTACAGCCAGAATATATTAAAACTGAGTTCACAGTCTCCTAAATAAATTTCTAAGTTTGTGCTTAATGTCACTTGCCAAACAACTGTCTTTTTAATCAAAGTAAGTTTATCATGCTGTTCATTTTTAACCAAAGTAAGTTTATACATTGTTCAAATATTAAGGTTTATTTTGATTTATATTTTTAACTTAGCTATTTATATTCTTTGATAGCTCTATAATTTTATTAGCAAATTTCAGAATATTACCTAATTAATGCTATAAATTTTACATTAAAAATAAGTTGAGGATGATTTCTCAACTTATAAGAACTTATAAAACATTTTAAGAATTAAGAGCTAAAGAAGTAGAGTTAGGATATGGAGATATCTTAATAAAATATGAATTTTTCCGTTATTTAATTGAGTATAAATGTCAACCTTGTGAAATTGGCTGTGAAATTAGCATGTGCTAGTGGCCAGTTTGGTTAGAAAAAGGTCAGGTATTTCAAGAAAATGCTGTGTAAGTTCTTGTGAAATCTGTTTATAATATAACCATAAAACTTTGCTCATACTACTAAAGTGATGATATGGATAATGTGTTGAAATACAGATCTATGGTGAATATTGTTTCATCACTATGAGAAGAAAGTATGTTTTTGAAAAACTATAATGTCAGCCCTGTAGTACTTTGTTAAGTAGATTATTATGCACAAAACTTAATCTTCTCTCAGTGACTCAGGATTTTAAAAAATTCATAGAGGTATTTTAGAAAATAGTAAAAAAAATAAGGACCTCTACTATGGCCCTGGAACCTTCTTGAATAATTTGCCCAGTGTTCAGTAAGCTCACTTTTTGTTTGTGTCACTTTCTTAGAATAATATTAAAATTTGTTATTCATGCTTCTTGCACAGAGCTGTTCTATGACTGGTTTGTTTTTAGCTTGAGATGCTTTAAATTCATATATAAAAGAACAATTTCTATATTTTTTATAAATATTAACAAAGTTTGTTGGGATCTTCATGGATCTTTAAATGAAAGAAGTATATATTTTATCTTTTTAATGTGCCACTAAATCGCTTATGCGTTCAGTGAAACTTTCTAAGATTTTGATCTATTCTTGTAGGGTTCATGCTTGAACCAGATCCAGAGCATAGACCTGATATATTTCAAGTGTCCTATTTTGCATTTAAATTTGCAAAGAAAGATTGTCCAGTCTCCAACATCAATGTAAGTAGTTCAGATAGGATATGTATTTAAAGTCATATTATCATTGTTGGTATATATCAGTTTCAGACTTGTTTCGTGACAAGTGGTCTAACAGTGTGTTGTGATTAATATTTTTTATATAAACCTACAGTTGCCAAACTGTAGTGGGTGCACTGGGAGCTACAGTAGACTTGGGGTACTATAGGATGTTTCGCATTTTTGAGAGCAGCACAGTGACCTCTGTCTGCCACAGTGCAAACTGCTGTTATTAGGTAGTTCGGGCCTATCTGTCAAAAAACGGTGCTGTTAGATTGTTTTGGGCTGTGGGTGATGCCTAGGAGTGTCATAGATGCTAAGCACTATAAACTCTAGGAGTTTGTTTACCTTTGGTGTGAAGAGCATAGTCATCGTAAATGGAGAGACCTAGGGTTAGTTCTGTCTTTACCAGTGACCGATTATGTGTATTTTGGGAAGTTCCTTAATGTCCATTTCTTTTTCTGTAGAAGGATAATAATTGTGAGAATTACAAATAATAAATGTAAAACCTAGTACCTCATCTGTGGAAGGTACTGAGTTGGGAATAGTTAATATTATTCAAAGACTTTGAATTAAATTTAGTGTTTGCACACACTTAACTACATGAGCTTAACTGTGTATGGCAAGTCTCTGCTCATTATAATAAGGGTCTAGAATCGTCACTGATTTTAAGCCATTTTCAACTTTGTAAAGATCACTGTGGCCTGAACTTGGACTTACAGTTTTCCTTTGGGTATAACTTAATCCATCCCACCAAGAAAAAAGTTTGTACCTTTCCTTTTTGTTTTTTGAAGTCCTTACTATGCCAGTGGTAAGGTATTCTCCGTGGAAGGTGAAAGTCGGGCAGTTATACCATTCTGGTAATGAAAGTAGCTCTTTTTGACATTTGCCTGTGGACTTTTTAGCTTTTAACTCGGCAAACATTTATTTAGTACTACTCAATATTAGGCCAAATGTTATATGAGCACAAGCAAATGAATAAGGCCTTCTGCTCATTTTCTAGACTTTACAAGTCATGAAAATGATCTGCACTTTACTCATATGCTTGGTGTTTACTTCTTTTTCCAAAATGTGAAATAGTCATTGATTTACAAGTGTAAAATAATTCTTCTTTTTACCTAAGATCTACCCATTTGTAAAATGGATATATTAATATTTTTCTGTTTATTTTCCATGGGTTTCTGTGGAACATGAATATGAAAGTGACATTTGCATACCATGCAGAGTGATATTTGCAAATTATATCTGGTGAATTCATGTGAACAATTTGTAGGTACGTGAGGTGAAAGTAATAGTATCTCACAGACAGTAATTTTTTAAGCTTAAGAATATATGCCTAGCATTTTAAATAAAGCTTTCTGCAATTAAGATGAAAACTACAATGAACAGTTCTATTTTTTTCTTCCAAGAATTCTTCTGTTCCTTCAGCTCTTCCTGAACCGATGACTGCTAGTGAAGCAGCTTCTAGGAAAAGCCAAATAAAAGCCAGGTAGGCAAAATTATGCTGAAATTTCATAAGGTGTTTTTAAAAAAGAGTATGCTTCTTGTTTTTAATCAGCAAATGTCATTGATTAAATATCATCTTTACCCACAAAAAATTGTGTGTTCCTTATTGCATGTGGTGTAGAGTTTAGACAGCAAGTGTAAAATAAAATGTATTATATACAGGGTTTGTCATCAGTCTTACTTGAACTGTTTACCCTCAGTAATCAAGTAGTAATTGTGTAACCAGTGATGTTACATTGGGTCATTTTGGCATTACATTACAATGTCACATTAATTACAGTGTTAGAGTAGAGTCAAATGGGAACTTTATGAAATTTTGTTATGAGTTCATAGCTAGTATTTTTTTTTAACTTAAGGAAAAAAATATCTCTTATAGGCAACTGTTTTAGTGTATTCAAAATTCATAAGTTATGTATTCTAATACATACTTAGACTATGTATAATTTATAATGAATGGTTATAAGATAGTACATTTAAGTCTGGTAAAGAAATATACCACTTTAAATCTTTTTCATAGTTGCTTATTGCATTAAGGTTGACATATATTATGTAGGTTAAGATCTAAATCTGATTAATGATTTTTTCTCATGCATTTAAAAAATCTTAAAGTTAATAAGCATGACTTTTTATTTTAGATTATCAGACAGGTATAATAATGCATTTGGGAGGTTTATCGGTCACAGAATTTTTTTGTCATAGTTTACTTATACAAAGTGTTTTATTTAACACAAAATATGTTTGTTATGTACCCATTATAGGCAAGATATAGATACTGGAAATACAAAGAAATGATACAGTGTTTATTCACATTCTAATGAATTTGACAAGAAAACAGTTAAAACCTGATAAGTGTCAAGCAACTCTGAGAGTGGAGGAGAGGAAAGACTGGGAGCAGAAAAAACCGGAGCACAGAAAGAATCCTTTCCCTGGGGGTGGATTGCGGAACTGGCCTTGAAGGATAATTAGTCAGTCACCTGGATTGATGGGGTGTAAAACTAGCAGGCAGGCACTTCAGGCAAAAGGAATGGCCTTCATGTGGGTAAGGGGGTATACATAGGAGTATAAGTTGCTATATATGGGAGTGGTGGAAAATGAAGCTGAGAGGTAGGTTAATGCCAGTCATAAGCAACTTTGTTTATATGTTTTGGTAAGAAATTTGGACTTTGATCTTTAGGCAAGTGAGTTTTCAACCTTGTAGTCAGTCCTAGTATTTGTGACTTGGTTGTGAGATATGTTGTAAATAATCTGTTAAATTGTTAAAATACTGCTTGTGAATGATTTAGTTTTTAAAAAAATATGGCATCACTCTAAAAATACTGTCTTCATTCACTTGAATTTTAAAATACTCTCTGAAGTAAGAGATGGAGTAAAGTGACATCCAATTTGCAGGAATCTAGAATGATCGACAGTCTATCTTATCAATGACATAGTTATAGATAGCAACTGCTATTACAATTGAGCACTAATTGTGAATTATGACATTTGGTAGGACTTAGTTGAATTTTATTGTTACTTGTGTTTTTTAAATAATGATTCTGTCAATAATTAAATCTCTAAAAAAGTAGGTATAAATTGGAAAATGGGAAAGCACAAATCAACTGAACAGGAATGGTGCTTTTCATGGCACAAGTTACAGCTATACAATTTTAAGCAGATGAACCACAGTACAACTAATATTGGCAGTGCTGTTCATAGTATGTTCAATCTGTAATTATTATATTAGAAATTATATTTAAAAAGGTTTATTAGTGTTTATTAGAAATATAAACTTACTTTTTATTGATAGTATCAGTAAATAACTTGAAAAAATCTAAATGTGTATAAAATTTACAATTAAAAAATAAAGTAAGTCTTTTTTTTTTTCATGTAATAGGCTTGTTTCCAGAGGGCAGAGTGTGTGGAGAAATCATTAGCTAATATGATTGTTTACACATTGTAAAGCTTTTATGAATATTGACCTGCCTGCCCTGCCTTCAATCTGTGGCACTCCGTGTTTTACTTCTTTAAAGCCCCCTTCCACCTCCCAAAATCTCCATCTGATTTGGGACTGTTAAACATGTGAAACTGATGTGACTTTTATCTTAGAGATGGAAAGATTGAGAATCACTGTTCTGGCAGGTGGAAACACCAAAAGATTTTAAGAAGAGATAGTCTCTTAGGAAGATTGCTCAGTGAGGAAAAAAGAAAGGAAGCAAGTAGAGGTAACAGCTGTCTGTTGTAATAGTGCAGATGACTCCACACAGCAGTGTTAACACCAGTAATTACTCAGTCTTTAGTTTCAGTCAAGTTTGTACCTTCACGTTGCCTAATCTGTCCAAGCATTTTCTTCCCATTTCTTCACAGAGAATGCTTAGTTTCTTTTTCACCATGTAATGAAAGCATTATTTTAAATTTCCAGTTCCTCCTAAAGTCTTCTCTAGCCAAACTACATTAAAAGTAGAATTACTCCTCCCTTAAATTCTTGACAATACTAGCTTGGCAATGATTATTTTTACTGTTTAAAAAAATTTTTTTTATCAATTCAATATACTCAATACAATAATTTTGTATTTTATTATATTTTTATGAGTTTGTGCCATTATCTTCCTAGTATTTACAAATACTGTAAATACTTTGAAAAGACGGTATTTTGTCTTGTTTGCTGGATAACAGTAATTGTTTAATAGATATTGGTACATTGGGCAAATAAATTGGGAAACACCAGACTAAACAAAGTCTGCACAACTTTTATATGCTCTTTAGAGGTTTGGTATGCCCGTGTGTTGTGACAGAGCAGTGTAGATCAGGAGCAAGGTAGGATGAGGCATGGATAAACAAACCGAAAAGTTGTATACAATGTTTCTCCAAATTACTTGAGTTTAGGGAGTACAGCATTGGTTTTAGTGCCACACCCATAATTTGAACTCAATAGATAACTTGTCATTAAAATGAGGTATAATTGGTTATATATGATATTTTACTGCCTTTTAGTTCAGTTTTTATATGTCTTATATCTTCCCTATCCCATCTAAAATATAAATGTTATTTTTAGAAACAGCACACATACAATGTATTTCTATTATTTTCTAACATCTTTTAATTCAATTTCACTTTCTTAGAAAGATAGTTGTTAACAGGGCTCCCTCTTGTGGTACATGCAGATATAAGAAAGAACTATGGATCTGTGCAGTTTGGTAGACTGGACTTTTTCCAAATGCAGCAGATAGATGTGTATTTGATAAATCATATGTATGCAAAATTTTTAGGTATAAAGTAATTTGAAAATGTGTGAAGGGAAATTGGTAAAGAGATTTTATTGCAATCCTGTTGAAGAGTGAATGTATGACTATTAACATACTTGAATTTTTGTACTGAATTTATGGAAAACAAAGTTGATAAAATATGTAAGCTATTGATTTTTCCTGATATTTTTTGAAAGACAAGGACAAATGTCTCTTGCCTTCAAAACTATGTTTATTACCCATGTCATTGGCCTAAAGTTAAGTCCTAGTGGTAGAGTTTCATGTAATTTCCATTCAGTGTTCTGAGTAATGCAAAGTTAAAGATTCAAGAGTTGAATGTGAGCAGGTAGCTCCACCTGTTAAAACTACCAGCCTTTTTTTTGTTTCACATGCCCCAATGTGCAGTCTTTTCTTTCTTAGGCCTAGAGTCCAAGCTAAGGGAGACTGTTACTTGTTTTGTATTTTTATTTCTCTGACTGGTTCAGAGAGTTTGCTCTTGATTTTGTTTAAAACTTTATGAGGTTTCTGTTTCATTATTTTATTTCATCTCCTTAATAGAAATCCTGTATTCTTTTTCTACTAGCTTCAGTGGCATACTATGAATGGTAGTAGCATACTCGTTTAAGGAAAATGGTTAGGTTTATTTTATTTACTTTCTTATTGTCATTAAACATTTAATACTTGAGAATGAGATGTAGGAGGAAACCAAGAAGATTAACATCATCATCAGTAATGAAGTAGATGTGTTGAAACAAATGTTTTATAGAACAAATAGTAAATTGGAAATTATCCCAATATTTGGAATGAAATATATTCTTTGTTATAGAATAACAGATACCATTGGACCAACAGAAACCTCAATTGCACCAAGACAAAGACCAAAGGCCAACTCTACTACTGCCACTCCCAGTATGCTGGCCATTCAAAGTTCAGCAACACCTATTAAAGTCCCTGCGCCTAGTGAATTTGGTAACCACAGACCAAAAGGTAATATAGCCCTGCCAACATCATCCCCTTTATGGTTAACTCAAAATTTTTATGGCTTGCTTTCCTAGGAGTATAAATTATTGGCAAATTTACTATTGTGAAGCACATAACATAATACTTTCAGAAACTGTCTATTGATGTCTAATAACTCAACTGTTTTCCTAAAGTTGTAGGCAAAGGTAATTTAAAAGTGTGGTACAAAAAAACTCAACAGTTGGTTTAGCTCTAGAGTCAACTAGTAGGGTTTGAGGTTGATAATAAAGTTCAGGAGCATAGAAAATTCTGTGTCTTGTTGGGAAGGAAAAAGTTGAAACTCTAGCCTTACAAAGTTAAATGTCTTTGCACTGAATCTAGAGCCTTCATAGCAAAGAAGTCTATCTTGGGCCGTATAGATATTACATATAGAAATTTATCTTCTCATTTGATTTTCAGAAACATTGTTCTTCTATTCTCAAATGTCCTAAGGATTGGTACAATGTGGTACTTTAAAACACTTTTTTCCTCAAGGAACTATCTCTGATATTAGAGAGTAAACTTGTTCTTTCAAGAATTTGGGTATATAATCTGAAGACCCTTCTCAAAGACACCTGTTTTGCACTTTATTTCATGATATATTTCTAAAATATATATCTTAAGTGGTTTCACTTAAGATGTTTTAAATTAGGGTGCTCTAATAGTTAAGAGCCCACTCTGCATCTCATGAACCTGTATTTGAGTCCTATTTCTCCATTTTTTTAGTAATATATGTTGTGAAAATTCTACCACCTATTTTATAGGATTGTTGTGAGGATTAAATGACTAGTTAAATGTAATGCTTGCCACTTCATTTGTCCTTATGAAATGTTAGCTATAAGCTATTACTATTAAATAAAGTATATCCTCAACAAAGATAATGTTATGTTACCTGATGTATTGCTGCACACTTCTGTGGTGACCAGGTATACCAGATGGAGGATTATTCCATGGAAAAGGGAAAATAGAGAAATTTAAAGTCTTACTCCACCCATATTGTCACAAAGGCAAGGTTTCAGTCTTTTTCACAGCTGTGTAATATTCTGTAGTATATCTGTACCACATCTTTTTTCCATTCATCTATAGATGAACATCAGGTTGTTTCCATATTTTGTCTATTGTAAATAATGCTGGAATAAATAGGAGTGCATATATCTTCATCTATCTTTTCAAATAAGTGATTCCTGTTAGTTCATTATTAGTATATAGAAACACAACATATTTCTGTATTTTGAATTTGTATCCTGTGACTTTACTGACTTCATTTATTGATTCTAGTAGTTTTCTGGTAGAGTCTTTAGGATGTTCTATATATAGCATCATGTCACCTACAAATAGTGACAGTTTTACCACTTCCTTCCTAATTTGGATGCCTTTTATTTCTTTTTCTTGCCTCATTGATATGGCTAGCACTTCTAGTGCTGGAAGAATGCACAATAAACTACTGCTAGTTTACTCTGGGAAAAAAGTAATGGAGACTTAAACATTTTTGAATAAGAGTGGAAAGAGTGGATGTCCTTGTCTTGTTCCAGATTGTAGAAGAAAAGCTTTTAGCTTTTTGCCATTGATTATGATGTTAGCTGTGGGTTTGTCACATAAGGCCTTTATTATGTTAAGATATGTTCCCATAAATGTTTTTTTATATATCTCTTTCCCCATTCAATATTATACAAAAAGCAACACTTGAATATATTCTTTTAAAATATTTAGACAATACAGTAGTATTCAAAGAAAAATGTAAAAGTCTCCATTACTTTTTTCCCAGAGTAAACTAGCAGTAGTTTATTGTGCATTCTGCCAGTCCTTTTTTATGTTCTTGTATGTGTGTGTATAGATATAAATAATTCATGTTGTGTTAAACATACTATGCATTCATACTATGCATAGTTCTCTACAAGTTAATTTAAGAAATATTTCTTTTAACTTAACATATTTTGAAGAGCTTTGCATATCAGTGCATGTAGATCTACCACATGGTTTTTATTAGGCATATGATATCCCATAGTATGAATGTACCATACTTTATATAACTATTTAGGTTATATCCAGTGTTTGCTATTATTACAGTGTCATGGTGAGCATTGCTATAACAAACTCTTGATTTCCATGTCAGAATATTTTCCTGGGGGAGATATTGAAAAGTGCACTAATTTGAAATTTGTCAGATACTGCCAAATTGCCATCCAAAAGACTTAAAAATTTACACTATCAACAACAATGTGCATTGTCCTTTCAATTTTTTCCTAGCCAACACTTGGTAATACTGGTTTTTAAAAATGTTTCCTGGTTGATAGGTGAAGGATTTTTGTTATTATTTTAATATTCCAGATTAGTAGAACTGTTTCATGTTTACCAAACATTTGTTTTCTGTGCATTATCTTTTGCAATTTTCTGAGATTGTTTTTCTTTATTTTTCTATCACTCTGAAAATTTTATTTTTGTATTCTGAATATCAGTTCTTTGCCAAATATAAGTATTTTCTTCCAGTTTATTGTTTGTCTTTAACTTGTGAATTCATTTAACTTCTCTGAACCTTACTTTCATCATCTGCAAAATGGGGAATGATAGTATGAAAATTTAATGATGTACTTGGAAGCATTATTTTCACATAGGATTGTTGTGATATTGTTTGGGAATTCTTTGTTGCTCTTTGGCCTTGGCTTTAGAACCAAGTAGGTCTATTTAGCTTGATGACACTAAACAGAAGTCACAGTTTGTGAGGTGAGAGGTGAGCCTCATGGGTTATTATATGGTGATCATTGGTTGTGATTGGGTTTCACCCCAACCATTCTCCAGTTTAGATATCAGGGCTCTAGTGTGGATAAATATAGCTGAAGAGCTTAACTTTTTAATACTCTTCCAACTAGAAAGAAATACACTTAACCACCAACTGGCTAATGGTGGTTATGTGTGTACAGTGGAGTTAGGATTTTTTCTTCCTTAGATTTTTAGAAATATTTTCAGGAATAATTAAAGTGAACATGCATTTTCTTATAATCAGAAGACTTTAGAAATAGTTATAAACTATTTTCACAGGTTGGTGTTGTACTTGAGGCATGGGGAGGTTTGAAAAAGAATCCTTCTCTTCCACCTTACCCTCTCTCTCCTTTTTTTCCCCTTAGGATTAAGTAGCTGCATTTGAATTTACAGTAACTCATTGGAAGAGTTATTTTATCAAAATTACAGAGGACTGTATTTCCTCTTTTTCATGTGTGTTTCTTGCTGTTTCGTGAATTTCAAAGGTTTATTCATAGGATTTTCCTAGTAAAATTTATGAACCTTAAAAATAAATATCCATTTAGGAGCAGTGTTAGTAGATTCCCTGCAATAGCACTTATTGAGCATCTGTTATATAAAAGGTCCTTTGGGATGTTAACAGATCGATAAGTCATCACCCTATCCCTCTAGGGCACTCGTTAGGAAATAGCCGTATAAACAATTAATATGGGCAAGGTAGAAAGAAATGTTATAAACTGAGTGGAAATAATAGGTGAAGGAACAAGGAAGAGAGATTTGAGCTAATCTTTAAAGGAAGGAAGAACTGCAGGAAGTGGAAAGTAGCATTCTGGATGGAGAGAATTGTACTGGCAAAGGCACAGGACATAGTTGAGAAACATGGAACAAACTGACCTGGTCAGTGTGTTTGTGGAGAGATGATGTATGAAAGGTGAAGTGGTTTTAAGATGTGACTTGTTCTGAGTTTTAGCTGACAAATATAACTTTCATAGGTACTTAACAATTGCAGTAAATAATCCCTTTAGACTATATGCATATGTAAATTTCTTTATCTAAAATAGATATAAATGCTCTGATTAAATATTGAAATAAGTGTTTTGAAATTCAGCCATTTTATTGAATTTGTGCACATGTTAATACACATTTTTGGAAACCTTTTTAGGAGCACTGAGACATGGAAGCGGCCCTGAGACTTTACTGGCTCAGGACCCCCCTGAACAGCCTCCGCAACAGCATAGAGTGCTTCAGCAGCTACAGCAGGGAGACTGGAGATTACAGCAGTTGCATTTACAGCATCGCCATCCTCACCAGCAGCACCAGCTACTTCAGGATGCTTATATGCAGCAGGTGGTTCTCTTGTTACTTTAGACATAGAAGTGTATCTATTGTGAAATTCAGGCACCTATTGAATATCAGTGAATTCCTCTTCCTCTCATAGGCACCTTGAACTCTAGATCCAAATAAACATTTTCTCAGTTTCCTGATTATTAAAGAATATGTATTCACATTCTGTGAGATAATTAAGACTGCTCTTTTGAAATAGGTTGCATTATGGCTTTATGAAGCAAAACATGTTTATCCAGTCATTTGGCATCATAAATAAGCACTGCAGTTTATGATAAATACTCTTTTTTTCAGGTTCTGTTTTCAGTTCAGATATGTAGACTAATAATGTTCTTGTTGGAAAGGTGATAGGAGGCTTTTAGAAGTAACATTGTCTTAGGTGATTGTTTTTCATCTTTTTGCCTGGGTTGGTATGTGTGTATGTGGAGTGGTGGCATGTAGAGTTGGAAGGGGCATAGAGAAAAATGACCTTAAGGTCTATTCTGTCCTTTGCCTCATTAGAACCTGAAAATTTTTAGTTTCATTAAACTGTTTTAAATGTAATGAGTGTCACTGTCATCCTTTCATCATTTCCTGAAATAGTTTTGAGACGGTTATGTGCATGACACTCACGAATGTATACCCCTCCTCGGGTCTTGAGTGATAGACCCAGGGTGCAGGGTAGTTCAGTAGGCGGGGCCATTGGATGACCAGAGAAATCATTAAAGGGGAGATAAAGGAGAGTGTTAATTTGCTGTAATGAGTTTCAGGGGTCTTCATCACTGGTAAATGTGTTTGGGTTTAACTTATCCCAAACAATCCTTACACTGTACTAGAAAGGTTTTAGTTGAATCTATTATGTTTCAATGGTGATTTTGAAACCAATTTCGTTAAACATATGTGAGTTATAGTCACTTACTGATTATAGTGATTTTACGTTGGTGTTTGTGAACTACTGAGTACCCAAATCATTGTTACGGTAAAATCAGTCTTTAAAAAATCAAAAGACTGTGTCACAAAAAGACATGAGTAATAACTTATGTTGTTTTTCTTGTGTAGTATCACCATGCACAGCGGCAGCAGCTCCTTCAGCAGCAGTTTTTAATGCACTCAGTGTGCCAGCTGCAGCCTCCTGCGCCGCTGTGCCCTCCTGTGGTAAGTGCCAGGCTATGCTGGCGATTTCTATGAGTGGACATCCCAGTGTTGGAATTCACAGTATGAATGGCATTATTCAGAATTTAATAATTCAGAATCAATTCAAGTTAATTAATTCACACATATTTTATCATGGCCAGTCATACATTCTCAAGCAGCTTTAAGTCATAGCACTTGAATCTGGCACATGATAACTGAGTGATGGTATTTTCTTCTTATAGAATAAGGGAAATGACTTTGGTCCTATGTGTCTTTCATTTGGCAAATGTCTATTGACTAAAGAAAAGGAACCCAAAATAAAATTGCATTTGCTTTGGAGAATAGTTTTGACCTTTTGACAGCAGCCACCATACTAGTGACTTTAAGTTCCACTATTCTTTAACTATTTAAAGGATTTTTGAATCCTGCCGGGTGAGCCTTGCCTCACAACTTATTTTTTTCTCAGTTGAAGTATAACTGACGTTAACATTGCATTAGTTTAAGGTATGCAATGTAATGGTTCAATATTTGTATATTTTGCAAAATGATCACCACAATAAGTCCAATTAAACAACTTCTTAAATAGATTTAGTTCATCTTGCTGTTGTTTTCCAGTTGCAAGCTACTCCTTGAGATATAAATTGTTTTTCAGGTTTTTGATTTTGTTGCTAGTGTGAACAGGAAAGAACATAGTCAATAGATGAGATGCTGATGGTACTGTTGGGACTTTAAGTGTTGTTTTGTGTAATGGCATGCTTTTTGTTTCAGATGCAGCAGTATCAGCAGGCTTTCCTGCAGCAGCAAATGCTAGCTCAGCATCAGTCTCAACAGCAAACATCCCCTGAGTATCTTACTTCCCCTCAAGAGTTCTCACCAGCCTTAGTTTCCTACACTTCACCACTCCCAGCTCAGGTTGGAACCATAATGGACTCCTCTTTTGGTGCCAATAGGCAAGTATTTTTCCCGTGAATGCAAAGGAAATACGGTGGAAGTGGGTATACTTGTGGAGTGGAGTCTGAATTGACTTAGAGTCCATCTTTCCTATAGAGTCCCCCTTCTTCTCTTCCTCTTCCTCTCTCCTGGTACCTGTGCATCCCCAATCCTTCCTTGCATTTCCATCAGTTGATTTTGCTAACTGCTATTTGCAGATAAGGCTTAGCAACATTTGGCATCAGTTAAGGCTAAGGTAATTATTGGTTTTATGTTGAGACATTCCTTATAGTTTAAATAGAAACAAAACCCTAACAAGCTATTTTAGAGTTAAAAAGTAAAAATAATCCTTGTAGAAAGGTTAACTTAACCTTTTCTACTTTTATGTTATTTTTAATTAATTTGACAATATTTACTCATAAAGATTGTCTAATTTGGTTTAATTTGAATAACTGCAAAAATTCTAATGTGTCACTTGGTTCTTTTTAAGATGCCATGATACAGAGTACACTTATTACCATGGAATAGTTTGTTTTGCTTGTTCAGGTATGTTGGTTAGTAGACTTATTATTCATGGATAATTCATATTGAAAACATTACAGTAAATTAAAGATAGAAATTTTCTTAAACTTAGGTTTTATATGAAGAGTGCATTAGGATTTCATAATTTAAGAAGCTATTATCATTATGAACACTTGCGGGGTTTTTTAGATATGTAGATGAAAGTAGCTGTTAGAACTTCAGTTACTAAACACTAAAGAAGTTCTCATACAATGCTGTTACAGGATATGAAATATTAACTGGAAAAAGGTATCTGTAAGCTTTGGCTAGGGGCGGGCATGAGAAACAGCAACGTCAGTAGCATACTTGTTCACTAAGCATGTCAAGAGAGGGTTAAAGTATACAGTTTGGTGTAGTACACCTTCCAACATCTGTGTGTGTGTGTGTGTGTGAGTGGGGGAGATGGGAAGAAGAAGGGGAGAACGGAGGGCCAAAACAATGGATTTATTGAGGTGCATGAATTAGGACAAGTATGTCTAAGTGGAGATCTCACAGGGCATAAGACCAAAGACTGGTTTAAAGATGAGATCAGCATTTGTCAAACTCTGTCATTTGCCTGCTCTAGTTACAGGTTTTTGATTTACCCACACAACACTTTTTTCTTTAATAAATTAATACATTGTTGTAAATAATAACATTAAATATACCTTTAAAACAAATTAAAGCCAGTAAAATATCATCTATGAAATACAAATAACAATCTAATAAACTTAAAAAAAGATGTAAAAGTCCTCCAGCGATAAGAATGGATTAGTTCTATTCATTAAAAATTGGGTATTCTGCTTGATTTTACTTAGTTTAAGATACTGATGTAGCTGTTGTGTTAATTAGATGATTTATTTTTGTTTTAACTTTTGGTGTTAACTATCATCAAAAATGACAAATTATATATAGTATATGTAGTTGGAAAATGCAAAGATATTAAATGTTTTCTCTGATACATATATACTTACGTATACTTTGTATTGTGAAGGATTACCAGCCTCTGGAAGCAAAGTTGTGTCACTGATGAGAATGGAGTCATGCATTGGAAATCCTGTATGGGAGAATTCATGATAGCGTTACATAGCATATAAACTGTCTAAACTTCTGATTAGTTACAAGAGCATACCTAAGCATGCAAGGTGCTGATACCTATAATTCATGTAAATTACCATAGCACTGCCTACTTAAATTTTAACTCTGGTGACACTATTCATGAAATTACAGGTCTAGTATGTTAGATAAGTATTTTTTCCTAATTTTTATGTAACCTTAAAATGAAAAAAAATTGTTTATCATCAAAATCATCTTGTATACCCCAGTTTGGGAAACACTGGGTTGGGTATCTGTGAAAGTGCAAAAAACTTGTTCTGTTCTACTCCTGTGAATTTATGTATTGAGAGAGATGGGAGGATGGTGCAAGAAAGGGACAGCAGTTACATGGGTAGAGACAAATATGTGCTTGGCAAATAGAAGTTGGGAACACAGGATTTTCCACAGGAATACTGCGCCAGCCACATTCAGTGCCTCAATGGTACTTGACTAATACTTTCCCTATTTAATATCAGTCTTTGCCAAGGATTATATGTTCAGTATGATATCTGTTATAGCAATTTAAAAGGTGATTAGAAATAAAATATTCCTGCTGATTATTAAGTGAGTGGAAGATGAGAATTGGGATTAAATGTTTGGCTCTAAGTCTATAAGGGATATTTTGAGTAGAAGATAAGAAACCAGGTAGTTCCCTTAGACAAAGGGAAAGGGTCACTGTCTTAGCATGATTATTTCCTTTTCTTTCCACTTAATATGTTGTTAAAATTTCTACCCTTCCACTGTGTTAATGTTATCATTAGTATGAATATTGGAGAGGATTTCCATGTTGTATTCAAATAGTAAACATCTATATGTATCTTCCTGTGATAAGTTGCCCTGTTGTATTAGTTGTTACTGCATAATGCATTACCCCAAAAGTTAGTGGTTTAAAATGATGATAAACATTGATTATCTCACATACTTTCTTTGGATCAGTAATTTGGGAGTGGCTTAGCTGTGGTTTTGTCCAGGGAAGGGTCTTCCATGAGGTTGCGTTTGAGATGTCAGTTGGGGCTGCAGTCCCCTGAAGGCTTGGCTGATGCCGGAGGACCTGTGTATAGGATGGCTCACTCACATGGCTTTGGGCAGGAGGCCTCATCGGTTCTCTGCCCTGTGGATCTCTCCATAAAGGCTGCCTGAGCATTCTCTTTGGCAAAGCCAAAGAGTGTTTTGAAGAAGGAATTGTTTGTTCTGCATTTCTCCCAGAATGAGTGGTCCAAAAGAGAGGGTAATAAGAAACCTGTGATGCCTTTTATGACCTAGCCTCAGAAGTACCACACTGGCATTTCTGTCACTAGATCTGGCAGTCAAGTCACTAGATGTAGCCCACATTCAAGGACAGAGGAATTCAGTTCCACCCTTTTAAGTGGAGAGTCTAAAGAACTTGTAGACATACTTTAATGCCTGTTTAAACTGTAAGTTAAGGTGGTATCACCCATTGATTTATTTGCACTTTACCAAGAAGAATTCATAAAGGAAGTGGGGGAGAAAGATGATAGGGATAGGGAATCAGAAAGTTCTAAAAGGGATCATTGACAGGCAGGAGGGGGAATTCCCATATCTCTTTGAGGTTTAACTTACCTGATTTTGTTTCAAGGACTCTGAAAGTCTTTGAGCATAGTTGTGGTATTAGAGATGAGATTCTGTCTGAGGGAAGGCAGGCATAGACCTTGACAGTTGTATTCCCTGAGTGAGTTCTAAACTGAGTTATATTTATTATTAAGACATCTAAGTTATATTTACTAAGAAAGACTGTCTACTTGTGATCAATTAATATGATTGTTTTCCCCTAGCTTTCAATAAAGTGTTTAAAGATTCCATTCTTGGCTCAGCTATACTGAGAGGTCTTGGATTAGGGGATTAAGTGGACGACTTTTGCCCTCTCTTCCTTCTCAAGCCCTGTATGGTGACAATGGAAGTGAGTTCCCAAGGGGAAGGTGAATATAAGGGGATGAGTCAAGGTTTGAAAAATTAAGATACTTCTTTAGAAATACATAGAGATTCTCCTTCATTACCATTGTTAAAAGATCTGGGTCTGAATTATGAAATAAACTTGACAACTTTGTTACATTGCCTTATGCCTCTCCTTTATTTCCAGGCTGGCTTGAAGGAGAGGTACTCAGGGATTCTTAAGTTGAAGAAGAATATTTAGACTGTCATCTTCTTTTGAAAGCCAAGAAGCCTGTTAGATAACTTTTATAGAACCAGTAGTCCTAGACTCCAGACTACAGCTACTTTGAACAACACAAGTGATTTATTGTATAGAAAATAACCCTTATCTAGTTTTAGTTAATTCATAAAGAGACCCTAGTAGTTGATCTTTTGTTGGTAGTATATAGAGAATGCCTTTGTCAAAAGGAAAACTATTGTGGTGTCTCAGCATAATCAGGGCATAAGGTCATCTTATTCAATAGTATTTTGAAAATGATACTGTTGGAAATGGTAACTGATTTTCACTTTAAGCCTTACTCAGTATGATAATTATAATTAATATTTATTAAGTACTTTTGGTTTTTTTTTCCCCCATGCATGTTTCTCTTTGCTTTACGTTTATTAAATAATTTAATCTTCTTGGTAACCCTATGAGGTAGATTCTGTTACTCCTATTTCACAGATGAGGAATCTGAGGTAGAGGTTAAAGGAGCTTGCCCAAAGGTATACAGTTCGTGACCTTACGGAGGCAATTTAAATCCCATGTGGTCTCTCTCAGTCTATGCCCTTTTGGCCATATCCTTCATAATAAAATGATCTGCTTTTCTAAAAATTTATAAAGTATGAACCTAGGGTGCTTAAAAATTTTAAATTCTACTATTTCTTTCCTCTTTTCATCTCTTAATTATTACTGTAGGTCCGTTGCTGATAAAGAGGCAGTTGCAAATATTACAAATCAGAAGAACGTCAGTAACCCACCTGATATGTCAGGATGGAATCCTTTTGGAGAGGATAATTTCTCCAAGTTAACGGAAGAGGAACTGTTGGACAGAGAATTTGACCTTCTAAGATCAAGTAAGGGACACTTGAAGGCTTATTTTGCTTCACAGTAAAATAACAACTATAGAATTATTCAGCAAGGCCAAAGACTGTTTTGAGGTGATAAATTGAAAATACTTTTTGTGCATTGCAGGGCAAAAATCAGGCCATCACCTTTTACATATTTTATCAAACTATGCTGTGTGCAGGAGAAATCAATTGCTTGATAGTAGCTGTCAAACCCAAGATTGCTGATAATACGCTGATTCCTAACACTTAAGTGCTGCATATCTTTCAATGTTAAATTCAGAATATCTTATCTCCAAAACATGGAAAATTAATATTCAAATAAAAAGGGAGACATTAGTATCTTGCTTTACTAATTATTTTGCAGCTCTGTTTTCCTGCACTCTCAATAGAAGATAGTGTGGGTCTGAGATGCCCTTTGATGATGCCTGAAAGAAAACATGTGCTACTACATTATGTTAATGTTTGTAATGCCTTTTAATGAGTGGTAACATAAAAGGGCTGCTTTGTTGTCCTGACATGGCAAAAGTTAAATAAATTCTTCTCAACTTTAAATCAGATATTTCAATGTTTTTACTTGGAATCATTGCATTTTCTTGAACTACCAAATATGTATGTGAAGTGTTGCTGTGCATATTTTAGAAAAATTCTTTTTTTGGAAAAGGGATATGTAGAGTGTATTGAGGTTTCAAAATAGGAGCAAAAAAGCTAATTTCTGGAGTATGTAGATAATTTTCAGGTTTCTGAGGCTTTTATGTGTGTGTGCTTGCATGTGCAGGCACAGCAAGTGTGGTTTCCCATTTTGCATGTGAAAAGGAGGTCTCAATGGTTTCTAGTTATATAGTTTATTGCTTATATTTTATTTTTGGTAACTGGCCTTAGGAGAACATTCATTAGATGAAATTCTTTGTTCCAAATTAGTATTGACTTTATGTTAAATTTTTAAATGGCCTGAAATCGTGTAAGGGATTTAAACTTGTATTACATATTGGTTATATGATTATGAAAAATTGAATTGATGATAATGAATTTGAGCCTTTAATAAAGGTTTGTTATCTTTGATAAAACCAACCTTACATCTTTCTATTAAATTTTTTTTTAAACCATAACTCTTTTGTTTGGCATTTTTCCTAAAATTTATGTTGAGTGGCCCCAAAAGCAGGGCTTTATTTAAAAGAGGAAATAAAATATTTCTTTCTTTTGGGTGGATGTCAGGGAGACACAAGGGGTAACCAAGTCATAATATATTTATAGGATTTCTTAAAGCAAAAGATAAAATTAAAATATCCATTTTAATGTGTTCTGACCAGGATAGTGATTAAGGGTTTTGTAAGTCAGTATTTTCTACTCCTTGGGTAAAACTCCTCCTTTTATTTAAAATCAATTTGTGGAATTGCTAAAGTATTCACATTATTTTGTACCTTACGAAACTGTGTTATTCTAAGCTCCCTAGAACTTGTAGTGACACCCAAGTTTTATTTACTAGGTATAGGCAAGAATGGTATAATATAAATATTTGTGTTTACATAACTTCATAAAAATTGGGTTTAGCATGTAAACTCTTGTCCAGTTATTTGCTTTTAAACTTCAAGATCAGGTAATGTGTAATTTATGTATATATTTGTGCACATACGTCTATGGCAAAGAGAGTTCAGACTTCATTGCAGTAGTAATTATGAAAAGATATGAAGTTGCAAGTGAAAATGCAGAGGAGCTTTATCTGCAATTCAGACTTGGAGCAACTCAGCCACTTGGGAAATCACGCAGATGGTCTCTCAGCTGTTGAAATCACTGTCACAAGGCTGATGCACTTAATTGGCACATAGCACCAGAAAATGTAAACTGTGATCCCCAGCAATGCCATTTAACTCACTTCCTCATTTATAAACTTGATATATTGATGGGTACCTCATAGGGTGTCAAGAAAATTAAATGAATCTTGAAAGAGTCTGGGTGCTCCATAAATGCCGCTTCCCCTTTCCTCATCTTCTGTATAAGTCTTTAGACTCTGACTTCTGAGGTTATTGACCTTTATTACCAGCATTTCAAAATTACGTCTAAACTCTCAGGTTTTTCAGCTGGCAAAATTAAAAGGCCAAAGTAGAAGAGGCTTTATGGGCAAACATATCAACAGCAGAAAAGACATTTGACAGCAAGGGTGGAGATGGCAAAAAGTCAATTTTTCTCTAGTAATTGATAGTCATAATAATGGAGTTCTAAAAAGGTGAAATGTCTTTATTTAATAAAGTTTATAAAGAAATCAACAATGTATAGAATACAGTTTAGAATGATTTTCTCTAGAAATTTTGCTTAACTGTAATACTTAGCCATCATTAGCACTTCTTTCACTCACAGGCAATGAAGTGTGTAACATTCTACTTGGTGGAGTTTAAATTACACTGACGGGCAAAACACTTCAACACCTCTTCCAGAACCTTAAAAGTTGCAGTGTAATGAAAACTGATTGTTGGTCATTAGCGGTTAGTTACTAACAGCTTTTTCCAAAATGAATAAGTAAATTGTTGATGCATTTGAAATATCAAATTTACCTTTTTTCTCAGTGCAGGTATTTATCCACATTTTTCCAATGACCTAAAATTATTATATTTGGTTTATGAAATGCTTTCCAGTGAGAAATGAAATACATTTATATATGGTCCTTAAAAATAGAGGCATTGCCCATGTAATAATTGTTCAGAATAATACATTGCCATTTGAGGTTTTACTTTTAAAAATGGTACATGATTATTTAAAAAAGAAAGGATATGCTGTTTAGGAAATATTTTGCTTGTGTGTATTATCCAGAAGGTAATTTAAAATCATAAAAATTTTTGAGATACTAAAACTTCCAATATATTAGTAATTGGTTACAAAAATGCTTTTTTAGTAATTTTTAAGAAAACAATTGATTTCATATACCAGTTAGCAAAGGGATTTAGCATATAAAATAAACCAGGTTCATCTTGCTTTTGCTTTCAGTGCAACTGAATATTATTCATGGTTTGGTATTTTTTTTACCTATTCCTATTTAATAGAAAAATATTAAATCAAAAATAAGCATTATTAATAAAGCTGGTCTCAGTGATAATTTTGAAAGATAAAGCTTTGTACTTTTGTCTTTTGTATCAGAACATCCAGATTAGTATGTAAACTTTAGAATCTAATTGTCGTTATATTTAATAAATTAAACACTGTTTAGTATACAGGGTTTTTGCTTTGGGAAAAATTTTAACTTGATTTTTAAAATATTTGTGTAGCTCCACATGTTAGTTAAAAGTAATACTTAAAGGAATTATTATATTCTCATTAATGGTGGATTCGTTGTTTTCATTTGAATTGTATCAAAATAACTAAAAGGAGGAATAGAAGAAACTTAAGACTGGGTGCTTTGCAAATTCGACTAAATGTATTTTTTTTTCTATGAAGTGGCAGGATGAAATAGATATATCTTTATATAATTAGTTTGTTGTAAAAACGTTAACTCTCATCATTTTAAGCTAATTCAAACCAATTATTGTTCTTCAGTGCGGAATAACAGAACTTTTCAAGTATATAAAACAGTTTCAGAAGTATCAGGTAAAGACTGTACTTTTAAACCTTACTCATTAAAAAAAAATAAAGTTGTAATCATATTTTCTGAGTTGAAAATTATTGCAAAGCAATAGTAATCATGTCTGTATGACAATTAACCTTTTGGCTGTTGAAGCCATTATCCATATTAGCTGCTGAATTAACTTTTTAGACAATATGGATTTTCTGATGATATTATGGAATATACTTTGATTCTAAGATTTTTAAATCCTGTATTTTTGCCATCTGTATCAATTAAAATAACTGAAAAGATGAATTGTCTTATTTTCGTCAACACAATTCTTCTGGGAAGGCAGGTGCAGGTAAGTTTCTTATATTGGACAAATCAAGCTCAAGTTCTGCTCTAATGTAAAGAAAACCAATTATTTGAAAATGGAACTTAAATTCATTTTAGGGGTGACTGTATTTGAAAAGTAATTCTAGATACCATTTTTTTAGTTTTTTTATAGGTAATTGATAATTAAAAAAATTAATATGTGCATTTACTTTGTTCTTTGTGCCCTGAGACCCAGATTATTCTGTGAACTTTAGAAATCTAAACGATTTAAAAAAAAATCCTCCGTGGAAAAATCGATTCTGTGTTTTGTGGAACAATGAGAACATGGTTCACTTTTTAGTGTATTCTGATTCTTGTTTTGAAGTAATTGGATAAATAACTTTGCATAAGACAGTGTCTTAATATTTTAAATTTTGGGACTCGTCTATATAAAAAAATACTAGTTTATGCTTACATGATAATGTTTGTGGTCTTGTTATAACTGCATGGTGCTGTTTATACATTTACCATGAATTTACTGTAGACTGATGGAGATAAAACCCCAGTGCTTGAGGATTTGAAGAACCATAGTGATAACTTTGTATTTTTGTGTGCTGGGAACCATTGGTGCAGTAGTGGTTTATAAGTCTGGGAAGTATTTTAAAATGCAGATTCCTAAGCTCCTTCTCAGAGAATTCATTAGGCCTGTGGTAGGGCCCATGTAACTACATTTTACAGGAATTCTGGCAATTATGATGCAGATGATTTAGGAAGGAAGTTTGGTCTTAATTTAGGCCTACAGTCTTGATTTTCAAGAATGAGGGATCTTGAATATTGATAGGCTGTGATTATCGAGGCTAGAGACAGCTTCTCCCATTCATCCTCCCCCGTTCCCTCTTTCCTTTGTCCTCACTCTTTTGTACACTGTAATTTGGGAGATGGAAAAAGGATGAGGGAGTCTTGGAGGACTCTGATACAAGGGGTAATTCCTGGTGTTTTTGTAGTTAACTCTGTATATGCACATAGGGCCTGATAAAATTGGTAGCCACAGGTACCCTGTGTGACTCAGTGAACCTTAGTTCTCACCTTAAAGTTTGATTGTGGATTCCCACCACAAAAATTTAAAGACCCTTTGTTATGTAAGTATTCTCTAACCTTTACTTTTTTCAGAAAGAGGCTATGAGACTTAACTTCTATTTAATAGGCATTGGGCAACAATATGGAAAAACTTTTTTCATGATATAGTCAGCATTTGTTACTAATTTCCTGAATTAAGTATATAGTTACTTTCTTGAAAAAGAACACCTAAAACAAATTTTCATGTTCATTGTTATTTCATTTTTATTATTACATGAAAGTAACTCTTAAGTTTTATAAGTTCTCTTTGTGTATAAAACAGTTGTCAGATGTGTTGCCTTAACAAGTTATTTATTAGTGCATAAACAAAAGTTTAAGTAAAATCTTCAACATCCCTAAGTTTTATGTGGATATTGCAGCTCGTTTCAGTCACAAATGCTGATAATTGTATCTGTTATCATAAAGGCATTTAAAGAATTAGTTTTCCATAGCAGTGATTAAATATATTCAGAGTATTGTAGACTCTAAGGCCTTGCCTTCTGAAGAGTACTCTGTGGACCAGCAGCCACATCACCTGGGAGATTGCTGAAGTAGAACCTCAAGAGCCATCTCAGAACCATCCAATCAGGATTTTCATTTTAGTAATTCCTTACGTTATTGGAATGCAAGTTAAATTTAAGAAGCATTGTCCTAGGAGATTCCTGCCTTAATTTGGGGCTTTTTACTTCATTCTGAAGTTACCAGTCATTTTTAGAGAATTGTATTTGGATATTCCCTCCCCACCTTGCAATCCATTAGAACTCAAAACCAGCATTAATTTTACCCATAGAATTCCTTAAATATGAAAGGTATAGTCCTGGGAATGCTTAAAATATCTGGAAAGACAGAATGGGTCCCTACTAGTATATATTTGATTGCTGAGAATCAGGATGAAGAAACATGTTAGAAAAATCTGGACATTTTCAACTGATAAAGTGCTATGTACAGAATTTAAGAGCAGATAGGTAATCACAAAAACCATCACCACGAGGAAACTGGGACCCATCAGCTCCTGTTCAGACACACCAGGCTTGCTCCTGCCTCTGCTCTTGCTCGTCGCCTGCCTGGTGTGGTCTTTTCCAGTAATCCACTCCTGCCTCTTTGACGTCTTTTCTCACCTGTACCTATCAGCATCACTCTAGTACTGTAACCTATACCCATCCTCTTAATTTCCTTTTACCCTGAAAAACATTTTTCTCTATAACATTATTTGCTTTATATATATATATACATATACACACATACACATACATATATGTGTGCGTGTATATATTATATATGTATGTAGTATATAAATATATGTATGTATTTCTCATTATATTTCTTATTATTTGTTTTCCCATACCAGTATCTAAATTCCATGATGGCAAGAATCTTTGTTTTATTTGATATTGCATGCCTATTGCTTAGAATAGTGCCTGGAGCATAATAGATGCTCATATGTTTGTTGGATGAAGTAAACTCTGCTATTAAGGTTTTTAATTAGTAGAGAAATATTCTGTCTTTTATTGTGTGAATGGTTCAATAACTACAAAGTAATATGGGAAATGGGCAATAATATAAAATATAGTGAATTACTTTTTATTGCTATTTAGAAGTAGGATTTATCTATTTTATGATCAAATGACCATTTGCAATATTTTTTCCACGTGAATAAGTTTTTGGAGAAGATCTGCCAAGTACGTCTCTGTTTAATAAGCTGAGCTTAAGTTCAGGTCCAATATGTTATATGTTGAAGACAACTGGTATGTAAATAAACTAAGTTAATTCATTACTTTGATTGCATGTAGCGAGATCTAGGACTGAGGCTGTGTTATTAAGCCTGCCTTTGTAGCAACAAATATATATTAAACTCTATATATTCCCTTTTACTTATAAAAATGACTATCCCCTAATGCTTATAAAAATTAACTCTGAATCTAGTATTTTTCAAAATGGCTGTTGCTTTGTATAATTTCCACTTGTATTTATACTGTATACCACTATTTTTAAAATTTAAAGATCATTTTGTTTTTATTTTATTTTTTGTTTTGTTTCATCTTATTTTTACAGACAGGCTCGAGGAGAGAGCATCCTCAGATAAGAATGTAGACCCACTCTCTGCTCCACATAACCATCCTCCAGAAGATCCTTTTGGTTCTGTTCCTTTCATTTCTCACTCAGGCAAGTTACATATGTAACATCACTATCATGAAAACATACACACAAGGTCAGCAGTAATAACAACAAAAAACCTTATTAACGTGAAGCCAAAGTAAGAACCAGGTATTCTTTACACCAGATAGAATAGAAAATTAATGTTTAGCCATCCTAGTTTTCCTACTGACATTCTTTCCATTGGGTTATTCACTTGTGCCTTTTGCCAACATAGAAAAATGCTAATTGACCTAATAGAATTGTAACTGTTTCTTTTTGCCTTTATTATTGTATATTATTCCAAAAAAATTCATGCTTAAAAATGTCTTTCCTTTTTATATGCTTAAAGTATACATAAAGACATTTTTCTTCTTCGCTTTTGCTTACAAATCCTGTGATTTTCCTAGTTTATACAGGCTCACTTGTTAGGTGTATTTAAGAAGTACTGAAGATTTTGTATTTGTCACAATCATTTTGTGACAAATTATCTTCTCTTTTCTCTTGCATCCTTTCTTTGATTTCAATCCAGAATTTAAATATTGTGATTATTCACCATTTAAAAATAATTGTAGTAACATTTTCAAAGTAATTACTCAGTTAATGCTGTTGAATATATTAGAATGAAATAGAATCCCACTTTGGCATAAAATGGATTTGTGTGTGTGTATGGTTATAAAAAAAAAAAGAGTTTCTTAGAAAAGGTTACTGTATTGGAAGAAAAAATTATTAGAAGGTAAGAGTTTTGTTTACTATATTCAAGGTAACTGTCAGCCATGTTCTTTGGTTCTGTTCCTTTTATTTCTTACTCAGGCAAGTTACATATGTAAAATCATCACTACTATTTAAAAAAATACACACAAAAAAGAATAACAATGGAAGAAAAACTTACAAATGGAAAATGAAAATAAGAAATTAGTGTTCAGGATTTTTGATGAATATATTAAGGAAGTGATAACAGCTTTTCACCATTCAGATTTGGTTATCCAGAACACAAACAGTAATGAATACTTTCATTCCCATGTTTTACCCTTGGCCACTTACTGAAAACAGTCCATATTTTTGTCATTTTCTGCTTGCTTCCTTGAAATTGCCTCTTTCATGGATGACATGACAATAACTGGGGAAGACAGTTTACTGTGTCTGTTTTACTTTACCTGCAAAGATGTATTCCCTCACACTCCCGATACTCTAGGTCATAAAAATGCTACTGTTTTTTTAAATTAATATGTCAAAATGGTCTTTTATAAGTTCTCAAGAACGCAGTACTCAGTGACTTCAGATATTTATCTCTTTGTGGCAGAAAGTGGTTTCAATAATAGCTGTTTTTCATACTCTAGAAGGAGTTGCATGTCCTTTTCAGATTTACATTTATCTCTGCAACTTCTTTGTTCTTTAATAGCTTCTGAAAGTACCCTGGGGAAATGAATAGTAGAATCCGGAGCTAGGGTGAGCCTGATTTGAGCTTAATTCCTGTTATTGCTATTTTGTTTTTCTTTTTACTGGGGATATCTAACTTCTCTGTTAGATTTTAAGGTTATTGTGAGTTGGAAACATGAATTGTCTGTCTTTGAAACCTGCCCAGTAGCCAACTCAGGAAGTACCTAATAATATTCATTGGATATATTAAAAATTATGACTAATACTAAAAATTCATACTCCTTTAGTTTTAGGACAATGACTTTAAAAAAAATGCCCTTTGATATAAATGCTACCTGTCCAAAAAGTCTGTCTAGATTTAATGTGAACATGGCCATTGGAATGATTTGGTTATGAAAAATTGGGTACGTACTGTGGAATAAAGGAGGCAATGGTCATTGGAGAAATGTGCTTCCAGAGAGAGAAGAAAAGGTGGGCACTTTGCCATCTCAGCATTATTAATATATATTTACCAGACTCAAAGTACATAATTAAAATAAAAAAATTTAAGAACTTACTGCTGCTGACTTGTTTATTATCAAGCTTAGAAATACTTTGTTACAACAATATAATAATTTTGGCTGTAAAAACAAACTATTCAGGGACATCCATTTTCCTCTAATAGTAAAATAATTGAATCTACTGACACAAAAATTAACTTATCTATAATAATTTCTTTAGGAAGAAATTAGAAAAAGAAAAATGAATTCTATCTAATGAAAATATACTCCAACCAGCATTGTGAGCATTTGGAAATCTGTAGGCCTAGAACAAAAGAAAGACAAGTGACTACTTCTAAGTATGTGTGTGTGTGTGAGTACAGTACAGAATAATAGGTACATTTGATAAGCCATTTTAGTGGAGTCTGAGAATTGACAATTAGTGGACATAATCTTAGGTAAACCATATAGAGAATGCTACCTGAGAATAAAATGGCTTCAGTTGTGAGGCAGAATGCTGTAAGAATTAAACAATTTTTAAGTCTGTTGGTAAAGTACATTTAAAAAGGCCTGCTATCCTGAATCTCTTGTTCTCACACTAGTTTTATTAGGAATTATGCTATTTTTATTTTGAAAGAAAAAATTTGTTAAAACTTGTAAACTTAACTTTGGAATTGTAAAGAATTAGTTTTTTATTTCAGTTTAGCATAATTTTATAACATTTTTAAACTAAATTTTTAATATTTAACATGTATATGCTTTAAAAGTCAGGTTTAACAAGGTTTTTAGTGAAAAAAAAATCACTGCCTGCTGCCTCCCCATTCAAACTTATTACAGGTAATTTTTTACTTCTGGTATTTTAGTATAGCATGCTTATACTGCTGTTTCTTCCTTTTTTTTAAATTTTAGATAATATACCTGCTAACGTCCTATTATGGAAAATGAGGATTTAATTAGTATACACTGTTACCTCTCACACACTTACACACGCACACGCACACTTTCTTATGTGCCCTTTCTTCATATCCTTCCAGTAGAGTTTTGACACAATCATTGGTTGTCAGTGTTCAAAGTATACATTTTTTTAATACGTGAATATTTGTCACCCCTGAGGTCCAGTATACCATGATTATATTTATTTTCTTCTGGAAAGTTTTATTTTTCCTAGACTTAATTATGTTTATAAAAGTGACTGTTTTTGTTCCCCTAGTTTTTGATACATGAATTGTTGGTTCATCTCCATTTTGAGGTGTAAATTTCCTCTCAACTTAAGGTGGTTATCATTTTCATTTTTACATGGTTAAAACTCTAATGGAACTGTAAAATCTGAATTGGTTGTCCTCTGTGTTTGCCACACAGTTATCATCCACTGTTTTCTTTTACCCATCATTCTTTCTAGGAATTCCTAGATCTCTTCTCTGCCTTTTTCTTGGTTTATTAGTAGAGCAACTAATAAATTGCTCCAGTTTGTTGAGAAAGTAGTTATAGAAGGAAAAGTTTTAAACTTTGCTGCCTAAAAGTATCTTTCTTTCCTAAGCTGACACTTGATTGATAATTTGGCTGGGTAAATAACTATGCTGAACATAATTTTCCTTGTGAATTTTTGAGTCTCTGTGTCATTATATTCTAACTTAAAAAGAAGAGCCTCAGCTAGAGAAATGCTCCCTATGCCCCTAAGCCTAGGTCCCAAGAGTCCAAAATACCTTTTTTTCCTATCTTTAATAGCTGCTTTTATTTCAGATCTGGTACAGTCAGCTGGCCTACCTTAGTTTGTCCATGTTAATCCATCTTTCTAATTTGTTTGGTGCCTTAGCTTATAACACTTTCAGACTTCTAGGAAGCTTAGTTGCAGATCACATTTTGGTAGGCCATGTTTTAAAATGAATTTAACTCTTCCTTCTTTTATTTTTAAACATTTCTTTATGGGCAAAATTAAATTTTGTCATCCATTATCCGTTTATGCAAAAACCAAATTATATCAAGAATCTATTTGGTGTTGTATGTAAAAGTGATATCTTATTCTATACATTGATATTTTAAGTATCATTGAATTATATTTACCTTTTATGTCAGGTTACTAAACTGATTATTAATACTGTAGTATGTCATAAAGAGCATTGACTTTGGAATTACAAAGCCCTCAGTATAAATCTTAGTTCTATCACAGATTAGCCATGTGATACTGCCTAACTTCTTACAGGTTTTCTTTCTCTTAAATTGGGGAAATATTAGCTACTTGTTGAGATTATTGAAAGGATTAAATGAGAGAATATTATACAAAGTACATACATCCTCATTGTTGGTTGCTATTTTGGCTGTTGTTGGCAGTGTTAGTAAATAGCATTTTTACCACTTACTACTAAATTACAAAATCTTAATGTTAAATAAGTTTTGCAGCTGCTGTCCAAGTATTAGCAGTACAAAGTTCCAGTAAAAATAAGTTCTAGTATCCTCTTAACTCCTAAATGACACCTTTAAGTAAGATGTAAAATCTGTTTATGCTTTTCCCTACCAAGAACTGTTTTAGTAGTGCTGTTTCTAGTATTAAAGCATTAACTACCAGTACTCACTACAATGTACATATAAAATTAATACTAAAAGCATAGTATTTATTCCCTTACTGAAACCTACACACCCTTCTTCCCAAGGTATCATTTTACAGTTAGTGTACCAACATAGGCTGTGTGGCTTTGTGAATTATTAAAATTAAGTGGTTTACACTATGAACAACTTTTGAAACATGTAGTATGTTTGAAGAATTTTGCTGACATATAGGCCATATTAATTAGGTCACTGAAGTTTTAGATTCTAATACTGCATTTCATTGTTAATTAGATCTGGTGAATGTTCCCTACTCTCCCAATCCCTAGATTCACCCTCATGGGTCTAATTACCTAATAGGAAGTTAAATTGAATTCAGGGTTGGGAAAAGTCATACTGTATGTAGCCAATATTTGTTGGAACACAAACTATTACAGATTGTCAGTTCAAATGCTGGGTCATTTTAATAAGCCATGATGAGGTGTATTTATTTTTATACCTTTAGATTCTAGTATATAATTTTTGAAGATCAAGAATTTTTCTACTTTAGCATAGAATAGAAAAAAAAGTTACCATTTACTGAGTTCTAATATATACATACAGTGGAAACTGAGGCTTAGAGCATGTCCA